CACATAATCAATATGAATAACATTACCATGGTTTGATGATTAAGAAACTTTACACAACCATGAACCTTTCCTCTTATACCGCTTCACTTGCAAGTGACCGTGATGTTATATAATTTGCCCAAGGGATCTTGATGATTGCTGTAGATGAAGAACCACGTGTTTTAGAAACCTGTTAGCTTTTCGCTGGGTACAATATGCATGAAGGCGTATAATATAATATGTAAATAATACGTGTATAATAATAATGTGAAGAAGCAGTTATTTGCCAGAAACAGCAGTAAATTGCCAGAAACAATCGTTCAAACTCAATGACTTATTTCATCGCAATATTTTGTTCAAAAACATGCATTTTGCGTTGGCTATGATGTGACAAGTTTGCATGGATAATTGGGTTGCACGTTCGGAAATGGGCCTGCTGGTGACCTGCTTATTCTGCGATCCAGATGAGATTTATTCGTTGGATTCTGTTAAATGCGTGATGGTTGAGGGTAGCCCTTGATTCGCTCTTGCTTCTAAAACATTCTTCCGTGTTTTCTAACTTGAAATTCCAGTTCTACACGCTCATTCGTAATACGTGTGATTACGTTCCAAATAGGGATCTATGCTGTTCTTTTCAGGTTCATCAACCGAGGATGAAAGTGTTCACTGTGGGCTTAGATGACAAAGAGAAATCTCAGAAGGCGGATTTAGAAAAGGCCGATAGCGGAAAGGTACGTCTAAGAAGCTTGCTAATTCTAGTCAGAAATTTGGAGGGATTTGAGCGTATTGGGTTCGTAGCTGATACTAATACAGGGGTGGCCAAAAAAAAGAGACACTTTGCCCATGGCGCACATCATCGAACTTTTCGTCGCACAGGGAGCCGATGTTAATGAAAGTTTTACGGGCGAAATATTCCTTAGGTGTTCCCCGTAACAGAAGCAGGCCCTCCTTCACTGCCCCCGTCTTCAGAATATGACGTCACCTGCCGCCACCGTCGAGCTCAACGAGGCTTACCGTAATCGCTCCGGCCTGAAGCTGCTACATAATTTCTTCAATGGATTAACTGTTGAATAGCTTCCCAGAGACATTAGCTGTGACTATGCAAAACCGCTTTTGACCAGCGTTTCAGGGACGTCGTAATGGTCTATGGTACCTCGACGACCCGTTGAGCTCGTACCGAACCATGTTTCCGTGGGAAAATCTTCTGATGTCGTCGGTGTAGAAGGCTGTCATGTAAGGTTTAGATAGATTAGAAGGTGCTCTTCAATACTGAGTTGGGGGCAGTCGATTTGATTCTAGCAAAGTGTGATTAATGCTGTCTGAAATGTGGAGTCAAGTGTCTCTTTTTTTTTGGCCACCCCTGTATAATACCTTTATATATATCACGTTCATAAAATCAGTTCAAGTTCTAGTAGTCATGGTAGACCGAAAAGTATTGTCTATCGTGCTCCTGAAAATTTCTTCTTTAGTCTGATTTCCCACTATGCAGCACAGCATTCTTTTCGCGTTAATATGAGCCTAGTCATGCCCTAAATAGGGATTCTAGAACTGTCGTTCAGGAAATCTTTTATCCTCCCAGACAAGTCTGGTACCAAAACCAACTTCAGAGGGCTGGAGCTTTGGTTAGCCTCGATGACGCCGACTCAGGATTCGATCTCCGGACCGCGAGTATATAGAGCCGATAGACTAGAATTTTTACTCGAATATTAGCCTCTTCAAATATAATATATGATGAATTTTGAACAGAAAAATCGTCGGAAAAATCTTTATTTTGCAGGCTCCATCGGACATAGCGACAGTTATGCCCATGCCGACGCCGATCATCGTTCCACGTGCAGCCCCTAGGAGAAAATTCGGATGTGGAGGTTGCTGGTATTCCTATCAAATTGAGCCTTGTTTGTCCTTCATCTACGAATCAGGAGCTGCGTGGGGAGTGGTTGTCCGCTTCCGTGATGTTATGCCATGACCATATCCGAGATTACCTACAACAGACAAAGGGATCAAGCATTCCTCAGACTCAAATGGTAATTTGAACATTGACCTACTGGATGTATTCAGATTACTATAAACTTGCGCGACATCATGCCAGGCCTGTGATACCCTTTAGGTTCTGACCAGACCTTGAAGGAAAGACCTACTTAGATAGTTTTCAATCGCACACTAAGTCATCACCTTCTTTATCGAGCCCAAAAAATGTGTATTTGTTATAATCGACTGGGAAAGGGAACTATGACTCTGTGACTGTTTACTCTATCATAGTAACTATCATATCGAGGGCCCATTACTTGGAATAAGCCACGAAGCTAGCAAACCTTCTCTTCTCCTTCGCCTTCCTAGAAGAGTCCCGCCCCGCATATCTCCAAACCGTTTGTCGATTACGCATATGAGACGCCTAATAAGTATGTTGAGCAACGGGTGATAGACGCTCTCCCATTTGAAAATTGTGGGAGGGGTGAGGCCCAAAAGGGTCCTGAATAAGGGAGTCTTGAAGCTAGGATACTAGAAATCTCTAGCCATCAGTAGTTAACCTCTCTACATCTCTTGCCTAGCCAGGGGAGAGGGCTGGGGTAAAATTGTTGGGAGAGCGTCCAGCATCCGTTGCTCAAAGAAGTTATTAGGCGTCTGTGGCCTGGCTGTGACCAGAGTACCTTCAGAGCTCACTATCAGAAAGAGCTCGGAGCTGTTACTGCAGTACGTATCCTCCCATTAACAATAGAGAGTCTTACTATGATGGGTTTCTAAACGCGCTCCAAGTCACCACCTTCTTTACAAGCCCTTAACTAAGAGCTATACTTATTCAAATCCAGTGTGAAGTCGATACATGCAGGATGCAGATCCAGCATACCTTAATCAAACCCTAGAATGCGCTACCATACAAAGCAAATGAGGTGTTCTTGTAGAAGAGGACAAAACTCTCAAAAATTAGCGGGTGTGTATTATACGTTCCGAAACCCGTGTTCAAATTTCACTAAACTGTGTACTACTACACTTACTTGCCCCACTAGACTGGCGTTCAGAAAGGTAAAGTATTGCATGTTATGGCAGCCTTCTTTCTCCCATTTATTGCCATAATTCAGTTGAAATTAAACTGATAGGCATGAAGCG